GTATAAGTTGGCCCATGAAAAAAATCACCCCCAAATGTTAAAGAAACATTATTTCATAATCGGGTTAGGAATCTGGAGCAGTTTAGCTGGGTTTTTGAGTCTGGTTCTATTACAAGGTGAGTTTTCTCAAGGCTCAGCTGAGGAGGATACACTGTCTAGCCACTCAGTCGAAATATAACTGGGTTCCATTCCTTGCCCACCCTTGGCTGGCACCCCCTCATCCCCTTGCCACATGGACCTACCTGTTGAGAATCTCACAATATGGCATGTTAGTTCCTGAGTGACAGCGATAGCAGGAAGGGTGTGGCATTCTCTGCCACAGTCACAACAGTTCATCACTGAGTTCCCAAATTGAAACTTTAGCAACAACAACAATAGAGCTATTAACCTGTGACCATCAGTCACAGAAGTCACCTCTCATCCCTGTGTTGTCTTCTGCTCATAACACACAAAACACTAAGCCCAAACATGGCTGGAATGAGAAAGGATTATGCCAAGTGAGATAAACCCAAAAGAGGAAAACAAATACTGGGTGATTTCACTCACATGTGTAATAGAGAGGGAGAAAAAAACAAAAAAACTAACAAAGGAACAGACAAACTTAACCAAAACAAACCCGAGAAATATGACTGCCAAATTAGGGCTGCCAGAGTGGAAGGGAGAGCAGGCTGAAAATAAATGGCAAGGTGGCCCAGTGGCCTAGAGTGAAGGATTGTGGGTACTTTGATTTTGGCTGTGAAGTGGTAACCTACATCTGAGGTGATGTAAACCTATTTCCGAAATCATGCAGTGTTGTAAATCAGTTACCTCCACAAAGAAAAAAGACAAGTGTAGCTCTGGCCCCTGGCAAGCGCAATGGAATATAGAGGCACACACAAGGAGCCTTGGCAGATACTGCCCACCACAAGCGTGAGGCCAGTCGCCTCTTGCCATGTGTGATTGATAGGCCTATGGTTAAATGTAAGGTGAATATTACATATATTGTTTTTAGAAGTACCAATTTGAAGGCATGGAATGTGGTCCCCTTTACGTATCAGATTTGCTGTCAAGTGCTCAGCGGTGCTCACCTAAGCGTCAGGAAACCAATGAAATAGGTTTTGTGGAATGGTTGAAGTGAGGGCCTGATCTGAGGTTCTAAAAGGGACTGACGATAAGCAGCCCTCTAGTCTCATTGGCACGATAGTCTGAACACAGGACCAGAGGGCCATCAGCTTCTATTGTATTATGTGTGGTGAGACTGTGATTGGCACTTTGGAGATCTTTAGGGGGAAGGGAGCAGTGGACAGATTTACAAAGTTGCTATTAAGAGCATGAATTGAGAGGTTGTGCTTGTTTGAATGGTCTCCTATCCCTACCCTGACTCCAAGGGTACATTTTCAGTCAACTGAGTGAAGGAATATTAGTGTGGCTTGTAAGGCATGGATTCAATTTCTCATTCTTATTTGGACAGAATGAAAACCCATGTCTTTTAAAAAGAGTTCTACCTAGATTTTCTTCACCTGTTGCAGGTTAATAGCTCTATTGTTGTTGTTGCTAAAGTTTCAATTTGGGAACTCAGTGATGAACTGTTTTAATTCTCCATCCCAGTTACTGTTGGTTAGCTTCTGGAGGGCCTGGAAAGCCTCCGATAAAATTCCCTCTGATAAACATGTCTGGCGCACCCTCCTACTCCATGCCCAAAGCTGTGCCTACAGTCCAGACAAACCTCAGTTATCACACACGCCACTTGAGGTGCCCTAAACTGTGGTTCATATTTATGTCTCCATCTGGGGTAAGCTCAGCATAAGAGCAGAACAGTTTGTCTTATATGTCTGTGTAACAACAGCACCTAATGCAATGGGAAGCTAGCATACAATAAGAACTTGAAACGTGCTTGGATGGATGAAGCTGCAGATATACTACATACTCGTAATTATGCCCTAACAGTTTGAAGTAGTGATTAGGACACAAGCAGTTATATATAAATTTTCTTTACATTGTTCATACGTGTCCACAGAATCATATAGGATTAACATGATGTACTTTGACAAAACCTAGTTTAAATTTTAAGTTTTTCATTCCTCTATCCTGTTTTTTTTTTCTCATAATTAATCCCAAGAAGAATTTCTTTATACATATACCTTGGGAAGCACTGTATATTTTGATTCCTGTGTTATTTTGTGTTTTTAATGTTTGTTCAACTTTTGTTTTTTTTTTATGACTGTAAAACACTTTTACATTACCTCATATCTTCAAATATCACTAATGATTAATAATCTATAAGTAGCATAAAGGTATTTTATATTTCTGAGCCAAGAGGTATAGGGTGAAATCTAAAACATAAATGGTATACACTTTCTATTTTTTAAATCAAATTAAAATTGAGTTTGCTGGCCCTCCCTGGTGGCGCAGCGGGTTAGAGCACAGCACTGAGAAGCTTAAGCCACTTCCGCATGAGTTCATTCCCGCCTGC